TACAGATCAAAATTATAAGCGACGTGATGGAAGTGACTAAACAATATTAAATGGTTAGTGCTGGACATAGGTACGATAAGTGAATCGAAAAACACGGAAGACAACATAAGTAATCAAAAGATGCCACAATTATTCGGAGTTTGGCAACACCTTAACGAGTAAAACCTTCTATAATTAAAACGTACCAACCCAGTGAAATCAGAAGTCAAAAGCGAAAAGATTCGAAGATATATTTGATAGAATATCGACGTAACGAAAAGCGACTTATCTAATCTGGCTAGCGGTTGTAGGGGAAGTGAAGCACGGTGTACTCACTCGTGATCTGGTGCCGTTGCATGATCGAGGGCCTTCAGTTAGGTGAGTCCATTAAAACTTGTGCGGTTAGCCTCAAGTGTTAAAGACTCAGAGAGTTATTTGTTTTAGGGATTTATTACTACAGTTGTCAAACTAATGGAAAAAAATTATTCAGATGGCTGTTATAAGTTATGTGGGAGGGCATAATATTTTGTCTAGATACTTGATATTAGGAGACGAATGCACCTGATAAAAGTTGAACTGAGATGGACACGGCTGTATCTAAAAACTACTTCGTTAGTAGGTTCCTGAAAACGGTAATGGAGCATGTGTTAGTACAGCATGTGCCCAAACCCATACGTTTTGCTTCAAATAAAGGCTCTTCATTGTTACACTTGGTAATCACTCATGTAACAGAGGACATTGCCAACCTAAATATTCTTCCACCGTTAGTGAATACTTATCACACTGTTTTGCCATTCATGTTTAGAGCTGGTGACGAGATATACGATCACGTCAAGCCTCGCTCAAATGTATGGAGAGTTAACATATCAGCCATTCAGGAGTGCGTTGCTAAGACAGATTGGTCAGTAGATACTAGCTCATCAGTTGAAGAAGCGTGGTCTATATTTAAAGGCAAGTTCAGTTCAGTTACGTTCACTTACCATACATAGATCAAATAACTGTCTAACATGAATAGCCAAACAAGTCAATAAAACTTCTGAGACGTAGGAAAAAGCACTGGAATACGTTCATTTCTACTGGCTTAAAAAAACACTACAGGTCAAGTTACTGTAGGACCAGGAATGCTTGTAAAGTGTTGATAAGCAAGTCCAGATAGTCGTATGAAAAAATATTGACTGGGGATTGTAAAAATAGTCCGAAATGGTTATTCTCGTATATAAGAAGGCCCCCAAATGCCCTTGTATGACCGAGAGTGGGGTGAGCCCGCCCTCTCCCTCGAAATACTCTCACACGGCCACGCGTATATAGCCTCTTCCAGGGAGGTTCTACTCACTGCCTTCTCTTGGCGGGGGTGTTGTTTACGAAAATGAGAGGACAAAAAGCGAATGTCCGGCGCTTTAACCGTATTCCAACCCAATGGTGCATATGGGCTCCAGTATCCTGAAGGGACAAATGGCGTATGAACCAATCGTTGGTCACCGGCTACCATGGGACTGCACCTCCTTACGATGCTCCACTGCGTTATGGGTCAGACCTTAAGGTCAAAGGCTAGGGGAGTGGCCCCCTAAGGAAACCACCTGCTGCTGTCTGGGCATTCGGGCAGTATCACAGCCCACACACAAACAGAATGAAATGCCACATGGCGTCCTCCCTCTGCATTTCAAGCCTGGACTCAGATTGATCACATCATGATCAGCTACCACTGGTTTGGTTGTGTACAAGACTGCCGCTCCTTTTGGAGTACCTATCTGGACTCTGATCATGCCTTGGTTTGCGCCAATCTTACCTTACTTTTCAGTGGCCAACGAAGTGACCGCCACCAACAGATTGATGTTAGCAAGCTGGTTGCGATTTCTGTTGCAAGTAAGTATCGAACCGAGCTAGCCTCTAGGCTAGCTACCATTCCACTGAAAAATATAGATGAGCATTGGTTGCAATCGCATGACGCCATGAAAATGGCGGGTACAGTCAGTTGTGGGTTCGCGAAACGTCCTGCCTTTAAGCACTGGGTTTCTTCTGGTTCCTTACAACTCATTGAAGCCCGTCGGTCTACTCCGGGTGACCGTGAGTTTGATCATAAACGAAGGATATTGTAGGATCCAAACTACGGTTCGGATGTTGAAGAATAGCCTACCGGGGACTTTAGACACGCTCCCTTTCCCGTCGAAATCAGAACAAGTAATCGGGTAACTAGCGGTTCTATAATTCATAATAAATTTAATGTAAATCATTACCTAAACAAATATTATCACCCGGCTATTCAACCAATGATTGTTCAATCAATTAAATCTAAATTACAATAAATAAAGAAGTTGATAGAAGATGAGGGAAAATTACCAATCACAACAAATGAACGTTGTTCTATCCTGACTGGATAGATCACACACAACAGGAGGAACAAATCAATATGGCTACCGCCAAGAACAAGTGTCAAGTAAAACAACGCAGATGCAGTTCAGGAAGGAACACAAACTTAGTGAATGGGTAACAAAAACAAAAACTATAACAAAAATACAAATATTAACAATTCAAATGTAATCAAAATACAACAATGTACAACTAATATGATCAATAGGAATAAAGTACAAGTATATACATGGAGGGATTTTCACCAACACATAAAACCTTCAAAATGGATCTTACAGATGTTACGTAATGAAATTGCGAGAAAGCTTGCGTAAGGACCGAGAAGCCTGGTGGTCGAAGCGTGCTAATGAGCTGGAAGCAGCAGCTGCATCTGGTAACTACCGGAAGCTCTTCCAGCCCATCCGAGCCACTGGCAGCAAGAAGTCTGGTGTGAGTGAAACAATCTGTGAGGAGGACAGGATGCCAATCACTAACACCCAACAACGTCTTGGACGATGGGCAGAATTTTTCGAAAGGCAGTTCAACTGGCCTGCTGCTCCGGCAACATCGGTCAAACTGTCCTGCCCTCCATGACCAGTGACGACTGATCCACCAAACGATGAGGAAGTCCGCAGGGAACTCCAACTCTTGAAGCGTTACAAATCACCTGGCCCAGATGACTTACCTCCGGCTCTTTTTAAAGATGGTGGTGACTTTTTGACTAAGGAATTGACGACGTTGTCTACAAAGGTCTGGGAGCTAGAGAGTGTACCAACGTCATGGAATGAGTCGATAGTTGTCCCTATCTTTAAAACGGGTTCACGTCGTTCCTGTAACAACTATCGGGGGATAAGTCTACTTCCGATTGCGTCCAAACTATCGGCTTCCGTCATACTTCGTAGGTTGTTCAAAACCCGAGAAAGATTGACTCGCGAGGAGCAGGCTGGGTTTTGTTCTGGTCGTGGATGTATTGATCATATCTTCACCCTCAGCCAAATGTTAGAACACCGCCATACTTATCAAAGGCCAACAATCGTAGTGTTTCTTGACATCAGGGCTGCCTTCGATTCGTTGGATAGGACTGTTCTCTGGGATTGTCTATTGAAGAAGGGTGTGCCTGAGAAGCTTATTAACATCCTAAAAGCCCTATATAAAAACACCTCAGACAGAGTGAGGGCATACAACCACCTTTCTCCATTGTTTCATTTGAGCAGTGGGGTTAGACAGGGGTGCCCAATCTCACCATTCCTCTTCAATTTCGCCATCGATGACATTCTGGAAACAGCTCTGATGAATGTAAGTAATGGCGGTGTGTATCTGTTGTCCGGAGAAAGACTTCTCGACCTTGAGTATGCGGATGATGATATTTTCTTACTGTGCGATAATGCCCAAGGCATGCAATCCGCACTTAATCAGTTGGCAATTAGTGTCCGTAGGTATGGTATGTGCTTTGAACCTTCAAAGTGCAAAGTCCTTCTACAAGACTGGCAGGATTCTAATCCTGTACTCACCCTAGGTGGTGAGCAGATAGAAGTAGTCGAGAAGTTCGTGTATCTGGGTAGCTGCATAAGTGCTGGTGGGGGTATGAGTGATGAGATCAATGCACGAATAGTGAAAGCCAGAGCGGCTTATGCCAATCTGGGCCACCTTTGGCGCCTTCGTGATGTTAGTCTGGCTGTAAAAGGCCGGATCTACAACGCGTTGATGAGAGCAGTTTTGCTCTATGTTTGTGAAACCTGGCCTCTCCGAGTTGAGGACGTCAGACGACTCCCTGTGTTCGATCATCGTTGTCTCCGAAGAATTGCTGACATCCAACGGCAACACCATGTTAGTAATGCAGAGGTTCGGCATGGTGTGTTCGGGCACAGAGACGATAATCCAATTGGTGTCACCATCTTGAAACACCGACTTCGGTGGCTTGGACATGTTCTCCGAATGTCGTCCCAGAGAATTCCACGTCGTGCATCATTTGCCGACTCTGGGACTGGTTGGAGAAGGCGGAGAGGTGGTCAGTATATGACATGGTGTCGTGGTGTGAAAGCTGCAAAGGACTGGCTTGTGTTGGTCCTTCTTGACTTCTTGGCTGGGGTCGTAGAGATGGTGCTACACAGTGGCTAGAGACGTTATCAGATATGGCTCAGAATAGAAGTCAGTGGCGATTCTGCTGTAATGTTCTTTTACTTTCTTCATAAAAAGTGGTTGTTTCTCCCTTAACTGAAAGATTTCTTCTGATTGTACCTTTCCGTTCCCCCATTATTACCATTCTTCTTTTTCTTATGATAATTATTATTAACCATAATAGGCAGAGATCTCAAAACTACTAGTAACTGTAAGGCTGCTGCTGCAAAAGACTGTTGGGTATTATGGGCTATTCAGAGGTCTTTTCAGTGTTTGGATGAAGAAGTGTCTGTATTATTATACCCGACTTTCGTGCGACTACATTTGAAATATAGGATTCAAGAAGCGAGTCCCTGTTTCATGTATGAGGCGGACATGCTGGAATGAGTCCAATGACGAGGGACTAAAGTGGCAAAGGTCTCTCTGACCTATCTTATGAAGTCTGGAGTTTCTTTTCTCGCACTGAGTAGTAAATTACTGGAATTCTCTACCGGAACATGTAATATCAGCACCTCCTGTTGATACATTGAAAATGAGCTTAAACCTCCACAGTGTCACAAACTGCAACTGGATCGATAGACTCCCTACCCTTGTAAATGAAGACTGAAGAATTATTTACAGCTACAAACTGAAGTCTGTTACTCGGATCTTAGCATTAGAAGTATTGTAAACTCAAGATTATCTCATGGTCAAAAATGAATTCTCGATTTCGGAAAAATGATTAACTATGACTTAAGACTAACATTAGAATATACAATCTTGGCTTCTTTCTATTGAATGTTTTGTTTATATTTCGTACTGAGTTTGGAGATTCGTAATTTCAGTCGTTGGGATGGCGGGTGATAACACTGAAATAGACTTGTATGATAATATTGATGAGGACTTCGTGCAGGTACTAATTAGATTTTCTCTATATTGCTTCCTAGGAATGTACCGATCTCACAGAGTTATATGACGATGTTATCGCACCAATTAAGTCAGAGAATTCTTCTGGCGTTCCATCAATGGTAATTTTCTGTTCTAATATGTATAATTGTCATGTTATAAAGGCCTCTAAGCACTCATATAGTTCTTCAGCTCCTCCAGGGCGCCGTGTATCAGTCTATGTCGGTAATTTGACTTGGGTAGTTGTGAATTTTTCAAATAACGAATAAAAAACAAATTTGTAGTGGACAACAGATTTAGATTTGCTAGAAGCAGCATCAGGTATCGGTATTAACGATGTTATTGAAATAAAATTTCACGAAAACCGACAAAATGGTCAATCCAAAGGGTAAGCTGTGGGAATACACGTCAATTTACTTGTAGGTTTTGTGTAATGGTTTTCGGGTCAGAACAGTCCATGCGTTTGGCTATGGACAAATTTCCAAAAATAGATCTCCACGGCCAAAATCCTGTTGTCACAAGCTATACAAAGCACAATTTGAGCGTTTTTGAAAAAGCCGCTGGCAGCGACAATCAGGCTACTGCCCGACCTCGCACGGAAGAAATGCAGACAATGAAGGTGTCTGGAGGTAACTGTCGATCTCTGTATGTATTGACGATTTTTAGCAGGCACTACTGGTGTTTTGGGGAACCGCTTACCGCCTCCATTAATGGCTACACCTACTATGCCTGCATCACTTGGATTCAGTGTACGCAATAACAGTCCTTTGATGGGACAAGTCGTCCCAAACGTTCGAAATGCAGCAAATCTGTCATCTAGTATTCAACAAGCTCTTGCTAATCACAATGCACACTCCGGCTTAGGCGGAAATGCAAACGTTAATCAATTGCCTTTAAACTTTCCGGGTTCAACTGGCGTTCTAATGCCTCCGAGTGGCATGTCAACAGCAACCTTAGCAGCAAATGCTACAGGACTATTACCCTCAAACTTCACTCTTCCTAGCACGATTGCAACATCCATCGCAACAAATGCTCATGTGAACCCAAATTTTTTGACACAACAAGTACCGGGAAATCCTCCGATGTTACCAAATTCTTTGCCACCTGGTGTAATGCAGTTGCCTACTCAGAACAATGATTCCAGTGTAAGACCACAGTTTGATCATTACGGGAGACCGGTTATTCATACTTATACCCCTCGTAAGTCCTTATTAATAGTTTAGTTTTATGTACTGTGCAGCTTAAATATCCCAGTATACTTAGTCTTCGGTTTCATTGGGTGCTCATAGAAACAGTCAATTGAAAAAATTTGAGATGCTACCTCATGAAGGCTCTTGTGTGATTTTTCATTTCGCCTTGTTTTGCGCACTTATCAATTTGACCAACGAGATACGTTTTTATACTTGATTTTTTTGTTAGGTCTTTATAACACTTGGTAATATTGTGCACCGTTACAGAAACATAGGCATTAAAGCTAAAATCTGCAAAATAGTAGTTAATATTCATGTACTTTGACTATTATTGGACTCCTAAACAGATCCTTCATTCACTGTCAAAGAGTTGGAGATATTCCATTTAACTTTCCCCAGAATACCTACGTACCGTTCATGTTAATTGTAATTGTAGATTACTCATTATGAGAAGCAGATTCTTGTACTTGGTTGCAAGTAACAATTCGAGTATAAAAACTAGTAATACTTTACTGTCTCCAGGCGAGGTTCAAACCTGCCACTCGCCTGGAAACCGCATGCTGTAAATGTTGAGCCACTCCCTGATCACGTTAATGTATTTCATATACCAATAGAAAATCTATATACTGAATTGTTGATGCCTGACTTCATGAATTACGTTGTGAACGGGATAGTCCGTGAAATAAACTGGCCACTTATTGCAATGTAGACGAGTCTTGACCCGCCTATAACATCTTGGAAGCTAATGCGCTCAAATAGTGGTCTCGTATCCTAGTTCATTTGGACACAGTACTGCTTAACAGTAGATACTTAACCACTGTCGGTCTTGCACTCATGTTAACAAAACGTCATTTGATTCTTTTCGACAACCAAGATGTTTGTTGTTGATTCAAAGTTACCACTGTGCTAACTACGATAATCTGGCTTCCTAAAATGGGACTATATGCTTATATTAACATGTATGCTTGTTCAGTTTTGTCTCAAATAAAAGTTCTCGTAGGTCACTGTGAATCAAATGGTCATTTGTTCAAAGTTAATGGTTGTTTTTAGTCTCCAAAAACAGGTCTTGTCATAAGAAATACGAATCAAATTCTATGCACCAAGGATATAACATTTAGTAACGGGTTTATGTAATTCTATATAGATCTGCTCTTTGAGTAGTTAGGATGTATGTAAAATCAAAGTCAGTCAAACGAAATCCTGATTAATGTAAGTCTTAGTTGTGATTCCTTTATATCTCTAAATCATTACAGGGTGTAGTAACCATCTGTTTCTAAGAAAACCAGAATATGGGATAATTAAGTGTAAAAACCGTATTCTAGCGTACGCCAGTTGTGTAATCGTTTCTAGAGCCTTCTTCCTTCGCCCCATAGATTTCGGTTTACACAAACTAGCAGTATCACTATATATCAGTGCTTCAGTTGAACATCATTAAACTCACTTTAGGTGTAATTGACCTAGGGCTGTTACCTTTTGGGATGGACGGCCTACCAATGAGATCCAACCAATTGTCCTGAGCTATCCTTTCTAATTTTTGCCTAGTAATATTCATATCCCTGATAACTGCCTTCAATTCCCAGCATCATGTGTTCTTTGGTCTGTTTTTTTCCTTTCGCCCTAAAGATCTTGATGTACTGCTTGTTTTGTGATACAGTTTTATTGGTTCTCGCAAACTATATCCCATCCACTTCTAGCTTCTTCCTAACTTCCTCCTCAGCTGTAAGCTATTCTGTTTTCTGTCACAGTTGGTTACTGATGGTCTCTTGCCAAGGATTCTGTAGTATGTTTCACTGACAGCTGTTCACAAATACCTGTACTTTTTGGTGATTGTAGTATCAGTTCTCCAGGTTTCACCCCATATAATAGCACTTTTGATATTTGTGTTGAGAGTCTTAATTTTGGCTTTGAATGACAATTGTATCGAGTGTCAGATACTCTTCAAGTATAAGAATGTTGGTCTTGCTTCACATTTGTATCAGATCTTTCTTGTGTATTGGTGATGCTTCCCAGGTATATAAAAGTTACCACCTCTTTCAGAGCTGGTTGGTACTCACTGTATCGTACTCCAGTCTTGAATATTGAGTCCTATCGCTGCAGAAGCTTTTACATGGTAAAGAATGGTCTAAATTATCCAGCTGCGTCCAAGGTGTATACTGTATTCCGTGCTTTTATCGGGACATGGACATCTTCATAACGCAAAAACAGCTAGAAGAAAAAGAAATTGTGAGAGCAGGCACCTTTGTTTGACACGCGTCTTTAGTTAGGATACATCTGTGAGCTACTTTCCATGTACAAGTTTTCACTTCAGTCATTCGTAGGTGTTCTATAAGGTGGTGACGATCTTAGGTACTCCACAGTGTCAGAAAATTTCAGTTTTTCTATTCACGCTGTTAAATGCCTTCTCACAGTCGGAGTTGATGTACAATAATAAGTTCTGTCCGATTGATTGTTCAAACAAAGATAAGTAGTGTCGGGGTTTATCTGTTAAATAATCGGTCTGCATAAAAACCAGTGTTTTGGTCTCAAAGTTGGGAGCCTCTTGGATTTTTCATTCGGCTCAGCAAGACGTTTGTAAACTTTTCCTGTCACTGGTATTAGTGTGATGGCTCTGCGATTTAAACTACAGGGTTACGAAAAATCAGTGGGTTCCTACTTAGTCTATTGCACAGATGGGTTCTCGCAAACTCATCCCTTCAGGCTTTGAACACGATGAAGGGCGAAAGCAAATCAGATCTAGGTTAACCAAAAGTCTAAAGAATAACCGTGAGCCGTGGTGAACAACGAAAGCAAAAGAGATAAAAAACGTGGCGGCTGTAGGTAACACAAGACAGCTCTTCAGACTCATAAAAGAAACTGCAACTAAATAGTCAAGTGTAAGTGAGACTATCTCGAAAAAAACGCTCTTATCTGCTCCCAACCCAGGCGTTCAGAACGATGGGCGGAACGCTTTAAGGAGCAGTTCAACAGGCCTTCATCTACTCTACAACTACCCATCATTCTCAGACAGCGTGAATGGAACATTGAAGTAGGTCCCCCGACTCTAGCTGAAGTTCATAAGGCCATAGCTAATCTGAAACTAGGTTGGGCAGTTGGTCCAATTTTAGCGATTAAGTTGACTAATATTTTAGCTAAAATCTGGGAGTTGGACGTAATCCCATCTGACTGGTTGCAATCGCTTATTGTCCCAATATATAAGAAGGGATCAAAATCGTCCTGTGACAACCATAGAGGGATTAGTTTAACTAATATAGCATCTAAAATACTAGCCTCAATAATTATCGGACGCCTAACAAAGACTCGTGAACTATCAACACGAGAAAGTCAGGCTGGCTTCAGACCTGATCGTGGCTGTATCGACCACATATTCACCATTCGTCAGGTTCTAGAACATAGGCTTACTTATCGGTGTCCGACAATGTTGGTGTTTCTTGACTTAAAAGCAGCATTTGACTCGGTAGACCGCGAGATTCTGTGGCAGTGTCTGTCATTGAAAGGCGTACCTCAGAGGTACATAAACCTTGTGAAGCCTCTTTACTCGAACACTACCAGTCCAGTCAGAGCTTATGGCGAACTGTCATCTGCTTTTGCAACCTCAAGTGGTGTCCGTCAAGGCTGTCCACTTTCTCCATTTTTGTTTAACTTCATCATAGACCTACTGATGGAAATAACGTTCTCGTCGACTGAATTCTCGGGTATTGATCTCCTTCCAGGAGGTCCACTTGTCGACTTAGAATACGCAGATGACATAGTCCTGTTTGGTGAAGACGCTGACAAAATGCAGAGTCTTCTGGTATTATTATTATTATTATTATTATTATTATTATTATTATTATTATTATTATTAATGGCTTTATTCAATATTATATTTTGGTACAATATAGAATTCTCAGCACAGGGTATTTCAACAAGTTACTTATGCAAACAAAAATAGTAACAAAGACAAAAAAAGTTTTTTTTTTAAAAAAAATCTGAAAAACAGTACAACATTTAAAATTAAAGTCATGTTAAGAATGCAGGTTATTGGCTAGATTAACTCTAGCATTAAGCAACAATGCCAAGATGTTTGGGATGCAGTTCTCTCCCTCGAAATGCAAGTTTTTGCTTCAGGACTGGTCTGCGTCAACACCTGAACTAAGGATAGGGAGTGAAGTAGTCGAACGCGTTGGCAACTTCACTTATCTTGGAAGTCTGATCAGCCCTAATGGGTTGGTATCTGACGAAATCTCAGCACGGATTCGAAAAGCTCGTTTGGCTTTTGCCAACTTACGTCACCTATGGCGAAGGCGAGATATCCGTCTATCAATAAAAGGACGAGTATACTGCGCGGCAGCCCGTTCTGTTCTACTTTACGGCTGCGAAACGTGGCCATTAAGATCGGAAGATACTCGTAAGCTACTAATATTTGACCACAGATGTCTTAGAAATGTTGCTGGCGTCTGCTGGGATCACTGGGTAAGTAATAATGAGGTTAGACGCAGGGTATTAGGGAACGATGGTGAATCTTCGTCGACTGAGATGGTTGGGCCACGTGTTGCGTATGCCTGAACGCCGATTACCACGACATGCAATGCTAACCGGTGTTGGAGATGGATGGAACAAAGTCAGGGGCGGCCAAACCAAAACGTGCCATCAGTCCACAAAGTCTGAGCCATGTTGGCAGACGCAGACTACTTGGTTGAAGTCTGCAGGACTATCGTAACAAGTGGTTAGAAACACTGGGTGACATGGCTCAGAATCGATCACAATGGCGTAGGTGTATACACTGAAATTAAAATCGCTTCATATCTTTTTTTCCTACGAACTATTTTTTTCTTCATGTACTATATCCTTATACACAATCTTTACTATAATTGAAGTGACTACTATGAATTCAGTGCTCATCTTGTTGTGCTAATGTGTGGCAACTTGGACGGATGCACATATGTGCCTGGTTCTACGTTGTAGCTGGCTGACTGACTGTGATGCCTCTGTAACTCACTTTGTAAGGTCTACTTCCTTATCTTAGTGGGATATGTTTTTCGTGCCAGTGTGTTGGTATTTATTCCTCCTAAATCTTTCTGAAGAGGACGTGAAACATGTGTGTGCATCCGTGGCAGTTCTGTGCGATAGACTGCAGCCTCACAAAGGTGATCTTTATCGTCTTACTGCTATCGTTGGTGGGTGCGCAACACTGGATAACATCCATTGTAACCATTTTTTGTTTCAAAGCGTCTCTTTATGGTCCTAGAGCCATAACATTTTTACTCTATAAGCTCTTTCCTGTTCTCTTCGAAGAGCTTAAGTGCAACCTTCCTGTATGCAGGTCTTGCTTTTCCTTTTGATCAGAATACAAAAGTACCTCTCAACGTTAGTCTTTTTTATCCAGCGTGTGTCTAATGAGTTCCACTTATTTTAAACAGCCGGGAATTGGAACGGAAGGGTCGTACAGTTCACAAATACTTGAGCAAGGGTTCTGCTTGAATATAACCAGAAGGATTATGTTAGTGGAGCTGATCTCACTTTTACGTATTAAGAAATTGCAAAAATCCCAACTGGCTAATCTGAGTTATATTTGATGACATCTCGATTCACTGAGTCTTGTTATCTCTAGAACTCGGACCATGGAGGAGGTACCTGAAAAGGAAATTGGATTAGAGGCGGTCTCAGTGACTTGAGAGCGTGACCGCAGTGCCCAAGGGACAACTGCTTGAGGCCGGTCGCGCACGGTCTTTTCGTGGGAGGTTTTTGACGTGTTAGCTCCGTTCTTCAAAGGGCCTTACCGCCGGAGACGGAAATCCGTGAGGTAAGGTAAGGTGAGCATTTTTAGGGTCGACCTTTTCTAACCCCGCCCCTCCTTGTGGGAAGGAAGCATCGCTGTCATGCTGGTTGTCTGAAGGAAACACCTTACTGCTGTCACACCTCTGTACAGTCAGCAGTACGACTTCGCCTTCGGACCTTGGGTTTGTTGCTTTTAGTCTTACCGCTCTTCAACCGACCTGTCTGACATGGTAGGACCTTGAGGAACGGTTGTTCCTGTCAGTATAGCTCGGTTGCTTCATCACGATAGGCAAGCCCGACCACCACGTCAAGGTAGCAACAACGGTCGGACCATGGAGCCTTGTTTGTTCAGAGAACCCGAGTCCTATACAACTCGCCCACATCAAGGCGCTGTGCCATAAACTGACTACCTGTACTTTCTCCATCCAGTCCCAACGTTGGCAAATAATGGGTAATATAAAAGTCGCTGTGGTAATATTAGTAAAATTATGTCTAAGGCACTGAAGCTGGTTTTTAAGTTAGTGATACTAACTGGGTTGTTACTGCCAGAACACATGTTATCGAACTTCAGTATTACTAACATAGTATTACGACTGGGGATCACAAACCCTTCGAAGGTATTAATCGCACATAGTTGCTAAACCTCAACAGGACGAAACTGCTCTCGTTGACTCATCGTAAACATAACACCCAGATTAAGTCACGACAATGTCAAAGAAGGCCTGGATTAATGCAGTGTCACTCTGGCTTCCACTATTTGTAAAGTTATTTCATCTTTCATGTCACTACTAGCGCGCATTCGTACTCACATACACAGTTTTCGACTTCTAACAGGTGACCACAAAGAGTGAATACAGATGGGCTTCTGTCAGTCTTGCAGAAGTACTTTGCACTTGAAAGTATTAAGTAAGTAATCTCACGGATACTGATTAAGTCCACTTTGGGATAGCTTGGTTTTTCGTACACCAAAATAATTTCAACCCTATAAATTAGTAAATGAAGTCTTATGGTCCAATGAATAAATAGTCCACTAAGTTGATCTGGTGTTGAAACGTAAAGGACAGTCAGTCAAACAGAAAAGTAGCCACCAGTAATTTTAAGGTTATTTAATTGTCACAACATGCTCTAGTATGAACGGCGTTGACATCTACCTTGAGTAATAGCATGTGTTCAAAATTCCATCTTCAGGAGCTTGCAGTTTCTTACACTTTAGACCGAATAAAAGAGTTTGATGACTTCCTGTTACGTGGTTTCCCTGATTTACTTGTTTTAAATAATACATCACTGTAGTTGACGAACATGTAGTGGCATTCATCTGAGTTACAAACAGGGTACTTTCAACATTACTCAAAGGCGTCCAACGTCTGGTCAAAGGTCTGACTAGGCTGTTTAGAAAAAATCAAGGAGTGGAGTGGTCCATCTTTCTGAAATGAAATGACCGTTATTCCTATTATTAAAAAACTATATATCAGTTATCGGGATATAAGTTTTTATCACTTCCGAACTATTGGCACCCGTTACCCACTGCAAATTGTGAGAGATTAACTCGAATAACAATCCACCTTTCGTTCAGTTTTGTTAATACCCAAAAGACTGCAAGCACCTCAATGACAGTAATAGCATACAACCTCCTCTCCATGAAATCCACTTCAAAGGTGAAAATGGAAAAGCGTGCTTAAGGTAAAACAAGCTAAGCACTTAATCGACCATCAAGGAGTTGAGTTTAATCATGGAATTTTGGGAACGGTCCAATTAACCTCCAGCCACCGGTCCAGGATTATTATTAAAATTGATAGATATGAAGTAGAGCACTTGAACTTCACTCAATCCCACCTGATTATTCTTGGTCGCCTGCTATTTCAATTTGTATGAATGGAGAGAAATCCTCCTAATAAACAGTCAGTCTGAAATATTAACTTACATAATCGTCCGTTGCCCAAATGAAGCTTAGGGACTGCGAGTCCAAAGAAATTAGATTAGTTTTAGGACTTAGTATGAATACTAGCTCTTATTTTATGTAACGTCTTGAAAGTATGTAACACTGCTAGGATGTTTTAATTTGTACTTAACAGTTACTGTTTATTGTAAAATGTATGCTATCTTTTAGCTTATTCTAGGCCCTAATCCTCTTTTGAACTAGTCGGGGTTCTTCATTTCCTGCTCTTGTCTTTAGTATTGATGTATCACTTAGATTCTTGCTACCCAACTGATCATTCTGTTTCGGATCTCATTGGTATCCTTCCCAAGTGTTATAACAATATGCACTGAGTTATAAGAGTGATTATCTGTTTTACTGTTTACCGTTAAATATATGGTGACTTGATGTTATTTCCTTGCAGCTGTTCCAGGAAAGCTCTCTGAATCAGAGTTCGAAGATATTTTGCAGAGAAACAAGACAGTCTCCTCAAGTGCTATTAACAGAGCCGTACAGGATGCTGCTGGTGGTGATTATGCAAGTGCTATTGAAACATTAGTAACTGCAATATCTCTTATCAAACAGTCAAAAATAGCTAATGATGACCGATGCCGGATTCTGATCAACTCTCTTCAAGACACTTTACATGGTATTGAGTCGAAGTCTTATGGTGCTAAGTAAGATGGGTTTACTTTTTGTTGATTCACTGATTTTTAACTAAGATCTATTGAAAAAGCAACCTTTGTAAGAATTTGCTTCAGAACTCATAAATTTCCATGGTCTGATAAAAAATGGACAAAATATGTTCCATTTTTCTCATACATGTACTATTACAAACCCAATTTCTTGAATTACAAGCTTCAACGAGAATTTACTGAATGTAACTTATTGAAATAAGTGTATTACATATTTGTGTGGAGATTTACGGTCTTCCAAAGTTTACATTTAATGGATTTAATAGCTTCTGTCTCGATGGTCGTCAAGTCAATTCTGTTGCTAACCAGTTTGTTGTGAGTATTATTAATAAAGTGAAGCTTTTAGCATTTTGACTTTCAAGTCACAGGCATGTTTAGTAAAAATGTGTCCATTGCAACGTTTCTTGAGAGTGCACTCATGAGCTGCCAAACGTTTGTTCCCATTTTCGCAGTTGTAAAAATTTAAATCGATTGTTACTTACTAAGTTCATTGTGTTTCTGACTCAATCTTCGAATCGATTTGATGTTGTGGTAGGTTGTTAGAGCAAATAGTACTTCTGATGCGTCATATATCTCAACCACTTCAGCCGATGGAATTCCACAACCTTGCTGACTGATTTGCAATAACTTTAATGGCTTATGGCAAATTTTTAAATTATTTACTCAAGGGTTGTGTAATGGCTGAGAAATCGTTTTGAGGATATGTCAGATTTCAGCAACTTAAGCATACCTTAAACCTTCAAAAGCCATTATAGCTATAAGTCAGTGATAAACAATATGGGACCTGGTACACCACAACACAATGCGATAAAATTACGAGTATGGGAATTGTTAGAGGTATTATTATTATTATAGGTAGTAAAAATATTAGGCATAGCGAATAAAAATCACGCGGAAAGAATGGATTTTCAGAATTAAATGCTTGAAATTATTATGAAACTTAGTCATAGGGAAGTCAAACAGTGAATGCATCTACGTCATTGGGATAGGTTTACAATCATGCCATCGGACTTGTCTAACCATTGGTCATGAGAATCACACAGACCCTAACCGTGCAATCTGAATTTAATAACATACTAATCCACAGTCAATTATTTTAAAGTCTAATACCACTTTTAGTTCGGTCGCTCCTACCTTTCTTTTAACCTACACCCCCGTTTCGTAATTACAAATTTATATAGAGCCACATGTCGCGTTGTACGCTGTCTTTTCGATAATTACGCAAATATCTCATATGCACCATATTCGGGCTTTCATATCAAATGATTCTATTCCTCGTGCTTACAGTGGTTTCTTAGCAATAACCGTTTGTCGGAATTTCGTTACTGCAGATAGTTGTTCACCAGATGAAAGTGCCAAAATTGAATGAAGCGGCTTTGAAAACTTAAGAAACTAAAGAATAAAGGCAGTAGTTCTAATGTTAAGCCATGGCATTTGATATCTACAATTATTGATCGAGGCCATATTGCTAACTTTTAATCAATGTCCTAATCTAATAGCGTTTATATGTAGAACTTGGGTTCTGCATGTTCATGTATCCCCTTTCATCCTAAGGTTTAGTTCATTTTCGTCTCACTAGAGAACTAATCCAACAAATACCATGTAAACACCTGCGTACCTTTTTATCTGTTGTATCGATCCAGTCAGTATCGATAAAATAAAAATCGAGCTTTTATTATATAAAGTCAACATGAATTGTCATGAGATCTCATGAGTCATGTTCTTTTTTTAACCGTTATATGATTATAGAGTTTCTGTATAGGGTGACTCTGATCGAATTACGACGGTGACATTAGGCTTATCGTGTATTTTCTGACCTATTCTCCACTTTTCTCTCATTTCGGATCTTCGATTATTCTGACATTTTTCCATGGTTGTTGGATTAATTACTAGATAAACTCTACCCGCTATATTGGCTCTTCATTTGATGACGTTTGGATTCATCAAGGGAATAATTTCACTCAACATTTTTGTCTCTTCCTGTGTTTTCAATTTGTGAATATTGACAGATAATGCCACGGTTTTATTTATTTGTCCATTTTAATACATTGAGATGTTTGATCATTCAAGCAGGTTGAAGTAACTAGATTTTCATTCTGAAATGATTATGCTGTATTTCCTCGATTTTTTTCTTGACAGGAGCAGTAGTCGAAGACGTCGTCGTTCGTATAGCGACAGTGGCAGTGATGGTGGAGAAGGGAATTACAATAGCTCCATCAGTGGTAGTGGCAACAACAATTCTCGTCGTCACAGAGACCGAAATCATAGGTCTCGATCTCGTGACCGACACGATCGGCATGAACGTCACGATCGCCGCAGACATTCTCGTGAAAGAGGGTCTGGAAGTGGCAACACTTACTATGGCATTGGATCCAGTCTTCCTCTTCCTAGTGGATCTGGTTTGTCTGGAATCCAATCAGTAGATGGTTCCGGTCAGACGTGTGCTGGAAATCTTGGGAGCAGTGCAGATCGGTATCGAGACAGTCGATACAGACATTAATCCTAGTTACATACTCCTCTCAATTGCCAACCTGGTGACCAGTGTAGCAGTACTTTTGTTTTCTAATTAATTTTTCAATTCGTTTGTTCTCCCAAATCATCTGGTTGTACAGTTTGGTCATATTTCAATAACCATTGACTCACTTCATTGCTGCTAACTTTTATGTTCACTATTTTCGTTGTATTGGTAGAATTGGAGCTCAGGAGTGTAACAGGCAAGTGAAATCCTATAATATATTTTTATTCAATCTTTTTAGCTTGTCCACTTACTCAGTGATCCGGTTACCATTGGTGCTTAGTTTTGGGTGTATTTGTAATTATCATTTTGTACATTGTAATCTTGTTATTCCTTTTCGCTGTACTGTTTTGTATACATCACTTGTTATTGATTATGTTTTCGTTGCATGTACTGACAGCTCTTTGATATAGAATGACCATCAGCTAACTATTGGATGAGTGTATATCCGATTTGATTAATGTTGCTAACTTCTCCCTTGATAATTATGTAGATATTTTCCCAGCCAACTTCATTCACTGTACATTTTCAATCCCTCCTGTTCCTATAAAGTGTGTATAGTTTCTGTATATTATTAAGACAAATAAAAATTTGTTTAATGTGGCATTGTAAAGCTGAAGTGTTCATATTTCTGTATATATCAGCTGTTTCATATGTTGTAAATAGATACTGAGAACGGACGTGGAAAGTCTTGAATGTACTTGTTTGATTTCACTGTAAATAGTTTTTATCTAAAACGTTTCTGGTTCCTCATCATACCACTTGTAAATAATAGACTGATTGATGCCCCCATAACTTTGTATACATAAATATCAATATCTTAACTGTTACATTCCATGTAAATAATTTTTTTTTCTAAAATAAAATATATTACTAGTCTTCTTAATGAATATGCACAACCTAAATGCGTCAAAATATGTCTTTTGTCATTTCGAATGTCTAACTCTATTTTTTCTTCCTTTTCAGGTGTACAGTGGTCGTTTCAAATCGGGTCTAAATTATTGTTTTAATTTTAAAAAAATATACTTATCATTGTGTCACTTCGTTTTTTTCTTATTTTCTCAGCCACAACTGCATTCACAGGTGTAGTGTTAACCATAAGGGTTGTACATCTAGGTTAATGAGTTACATCTATTTAAGCAATCCATTTGTTAATCATGCCCATTTCAATAAACCCTAAAACAATGTACATAGTATAACAAGCATAGTTTCTGATATATTCAATGCGATTATGATACCTATTTTCTTGATGTGTTCTGACTGCTGGTAAGCAAGTATTTTACTTAAGCGGCTCACACTACTGACTTATTTTAAGTAGCGTAAATTACTGAGTGAAATGTTTGGTTTTGAGTCAAACATATTTATGAGGGTTAGTGGTATCACTCATTCGAAGTGCAAAGGACAGTATGGCTCTCAAACTCTTTGTTTTGTGACTATAAGCTGGTTGCATCAGTTAATTAAATTAATAATCATAAGACTTGTTCACAAGAATGATTCTTCACAAAGAGATGTGAGGTTACTTCAAGGTCCTATATTTTTGGACCTGTTAATTGCACATCTATAAGTTTAATCCCTACAACAGTTTGTCTGTTTCACTTATGCAGCGGTTTTTCCTCGGTAGATTGGTTTGTTCTTAGATTTCAGCAACTCAGAAGAATACAGAAGTCTGAACTTAAATATACTAAACATTACTATCAATAAAATTCCTTATATTACGATGTTGATTGGAATTGTCAGGAGTAGTAGGAAATCGTAATAGGATACTTGCAGATGGTGATTGTCAAACCGTCTCAGCATTTATCGCAGTAGCCCAGGTAGCTATGCTGTCATTTCCCCAACACCTAGACAGATTGTCACACTTGAGGGTATTTAGACTCGTTAATTACTTCTTGATCTGATGTGTCTATATCAGTTGAAGTTGTCATATCCAATTAGCACAGAGAATGAGACTTCATCCAAATGTAAAGATAGAGTGGATGTACCTGCGCTATTGCGAAAGAAATGCCACTCAGAATTTTTAACCACGGTTCACGATTATTGCTCAGATCCGTAGTAGGTAGTCTGCACCGCCTAATGTGGTTCATTCCAATTCCATGGACTAATACCATTTTTCGTTTTGCCCTCAGCTTTCAATGTACTCAAACCAAGTCTCGTGAGTGAATCAAATCAATTAGGCCATCATAATCTTACTGCCCATTATTTGCATTCCCTTTGCTTTTTTCGTGTCTAATTTTCCATTATTAACGAGAGCTGACAAGTGAGTATTTTTTCGAATTTCAATTTTTCCCCTCAATGGGTCGTTATTCTTTAAATATACACATAGTCATCCTTTCGATTCTAATCTACACTTAATAATCCTATGTTTTTGTGGACCAGATATTTCTATTTTATACTATTTCTTACACTATGCATCCATACCTTCATACAATTTCAACACCTATTTGATTGCTAGTAACAGTGGTTTACTCACATATAGATAATCCGAGCAAGCGAAAAGGTAGTCACTCATTTTAAGGAGTTTCAATTCTTTTTTGTGTTCATTGTTTCTTACATCCTTTCATTATGCCTAGTGATTAATTTAAAGGGAAGGATATTCAAATTCTGACAGGTTTATTGCGCTTTATCTATTATCCCTTAATTTCGTTATTGTGAGTTATTATATTTCTCAGATCGGTTGTACATTTATTAAATTAATTACCAACATCTTTTCTTAGTTTTGATATAAGTATTTCGAATAAATTGTCTTCGTGAAATTCACATGAGTCTGTTTACGAGTTAGTATGATTGTACCTTTAAAATATGCAGATAATTTTGTATAATTCCATGCAAATTCGGAGTAAAATGATTTATTGACCATGGTTGTGAAATAAGCATCTATATCTACTTTTTCCACCACGACATACTGTCAGTTAAGATATTGAGAATGTGAGAATTTATTAATTAAGAAGAAACAAAGAGTTAATAATGGTTTTCACTGTAACATAATATACCATTAAATCCCAATTTATTATTCTCTTCTTTCTTGTAGTTGGTCAAATACACATTCATGAATTCTGATGTATATTTTTCTTTGTAACTTGATCGTATCATAAGTCACTATTCTATTCATGATCTTTAGATTCTTCGTAGTTTCACTAAACCAGTGTATTAATTCGTGTAAACATAGTCCCAAATGTGTCTGAACTATTCGCTAATTGTAAAAGTATTAATCAGGTGTCAATATACCGTATGATATGACACACATCTTCCTTATTACTTAGCTATGGAAATCCATAGATTCTAGATAACTGGAAGTGTGAATGCATGTATTACGTGAGGTAATCATAAATAATGCGGAAGGCGAATGTTAAGTTAAAAAATTATCCCGACAATTTGGAACCATATATTTTTGTGACGAGTGGCATTGATTCGTCAGTAGGAATATCGGATTAAAGTCTACAGATGTTATTTGAAGAAATAATAAGTACGAAAAATCCAGAAATCTTAAAAGAAGGCAAACGAACATTAATTACAAGTGACAAACATTGGAATGCCTGTCAGGCTCAATACGATCACCGAAAGCCTGGTGCTAGACCAAGGATATATATATATTAATACCTGGGATTAGGGTATCTTTGAGGAAATGTGTTGTAGTTTCTAGATGGTCAAGTTTGCCTTATTATAAAATACTTAAGTCATGTGTGTCTATCATTTGGTTATTGTTGCGGTGTTGTTTTGATACAATCTTTTCTCAACTGTATAGTGTATCATTACTTTTGATGTTAGTTATAATATCAAAAAGGATTTGGTCAACTTATTTTCGGGCGGGATATTGTCATTTAACCGAACACTTTTAGTCGGTTCACCACAGCCATGTATAAAAGGTTCGGAAACAGTATGATCGTTTTAAAAAATTCCAAATGTGTATGTATTTGTTCACAACATAATTATTATGGAGTGATTTATACACGTGTTCATCAAATGAATCATGAAAAAATGAAATAACACTAGGTTTAATCCCGAGTATGCTCCGTATCTTAAGTTCTTTTTAAACAGAAAGACTGTTAGTGAACTAGCGAGTATAGTACAGTGCTGAGTAATTAAAAACAAGATTGTGGTTCATGTAGAATTTCAATAAAGCTTAATAATATCAGACATAAACATACAAGTGGGAATTCAAAAAATAGGCGATACCAATAGTATATATGTGGTGTGTAGATTATTCCCAAAAGTACTCATTGTACGTATATCAATCGAAAACAAAAATGGGACATTAGGAACATTAATAAAATCTAATCATGTATAAAGTTCTACTTGTCTTCATAAATTCAACACGGATCAATTGGGTAGAATTTTGTCAACACTAAAACGGACCAGAAAAACATGATTTTTATTTGCAAATATCTCAGTCATAAAGGTCAGTAGTTGCTGAACCACTCAAAACCGACTTCTCAGACTATAAAGCTGAGTGACACATGATAGAGTCCAGCAGGAAACAGGAATTTTTAACAGATTACAGATGCACTTTTCTGAAGAGTATAATGCAAAATTTTGATTCAAGTTATCTTGTTTACTTTCTTCAATCACCTAACGAAGTAATCTTGTATTTTGACTACTTGTAATAGTTGTTCTGTAGAGATCCATTATTTATACTGGTGTTTCTTAGAAATCAGTCCGTCCTGGCATATTGAAGTTATTTCTCCTTAAATCCCTTTCTCGCTTCTCTTCATATCAGTTTCTTCTTTTTTTAGTGGATCTAAAATTAAGAACTTGTTCCTGGGAGCTATCTTGAATTCTCATAGCCCGATGGCATCTCGAACGAGGTCTGTATCAAACTTTAGTATTGCTGCCTGTCTTAGTATCCAATGCCTCAATTATTTTAGTTTTGGCTTAACCACCACCAGTTGATGATAATCTGAAGCTGAATCATTCCCCCTCTTTGTTGTTACCTTTTCAATGAACCTTATAAATTTTTCACTTATGCGGGTGTGATTAATCTGCTTTTCTACGATGTGGTTCAGTGAGACCCATGCAGCTTTGTGTATACGTTTGTTTGTGAAAATCCTCCTACCTACGATCATGTTCAAATCATATAGATTTGCAAGTTACTCAACGCCATCGTTCCTTTCTCCAAGTCCATGAGTTCGAACTCAGTGTTGTCCATCTCAGTCTTGGCATTCAGGTCACTCATCAAGATGATCAGGTCTTTTTATGGAATTTCCTCTAGGATTCACTTCTGTATCTCACAAACGTGGCCTTCATTATCTTCATGGCTGTCATTGATAAGTGCGTAGTACTGGATGACATTCACTGCTATCCTTTCATTCCATTGTTATGAGGGATGCTTGGTGAAATCGCCTTGCATAGACATTCAATCTCTCTACCTTAATTGTTGCATTTGTTGGGAGATCAGCCTTGTGGCTTCAGATGATTCTGAGCTTTCACTAAGATGGGGTAATGACCCTTCAACTGGAAAAAATCAAAATACTGGATCGGGAGAACTGTAAGTATTTCACAGAATTCCAATAAACAGGACTCTTAGATCAGTTAGCAATCAACAGGCCCATTGACAGTCAGTCAGAAGGTTAAAATTAACCGAAAAAGACAACCAACATGAATATGATAAAAAAAGGTAAGCACACAGTAACAAAATCTCAACTAAGGACTTCAGAAAGATATGGTATAACTTTTTTTGCATTGACTGAAATGCTTACTTTTACCTAAAGAAGACAGTGAGAATATTGTTAAAAAAAATAATGAAAATTCTACTATTGAACCATCTAGCACAGTGGACACAACACCACTAAGAAACGGACTAATATTAGCTAAACGATTAATAGAAATCAAGCCTTACTGGACAACTGGTTTTTATTAATTTGAGATTATTGAGTAATTGGAATGTATATGATATATGAGATAAAAACTCTTACTTAACCTGTCAGTTTTACAGCTATCCTGTAGCCTATCGTTCAATAATTACAAATAGTTCGTTCAAACAATGAATATCTCCAATGAACACTTTCGGTGTATATCAAAACTGATAAACATTATGGGCAGTGT